TTTGGAAGGGAGCTTAGAGATAATCTAGTTCCACCCCCCCACCCACTTTCCCCCCACAGCCCCTCTCAGCCCCTCTCCCTTCGGCAGAGACACCTTCCTCTACCTCAGATTTTTCAGGGACCCATCCAGTCCAGCCTCGGACACTTGCAGAGATGGGGCAGCCACAACTTCATCATGTGCTGTCTTAAATAGTTGTACAAACATTTTTTGTAGCTTTGCTGTCTTTTTTTTTTTTTTTTTTTTAGGTTAAACATACACATTTGTCTTACCCTTCAAACTAAGATTTGTAGTCTAGATCTAAGTATCATTTTAGAAAAACTCGATCTCCCTAATCAGAAGCTTGGGGGAAGGGGAAAATAAAGGAGCTATATTTACAGCAAGCATGGAAAAAGAGAGAAAAAATAAGAGTCACACTCCTGAATCCGTGAGACGGTTCTGTCCTTGCTACAGTAAATTTACTTTGAGATAATCAGCACCTTTGGACTTATGTTTCTATTTGGGATTTGTACATTTCTTGTCAGCCAGAGTTTATGGTTTCTTTTTCCTCCATTCAGTGTAAGATGAAGAAATGAGGCCTACTACAAATGCAAAAAAAATGAGGCTTTTGAAGGCACCAAGGAAAACTGGATATAATTTCTGATTGATAAATATATAAATCAGTGTAGATATATTTTGTATGTGCATGTCTGTTTGTGTGTCTGTGTGTATGTACCCACATTTGCTATTTGAAAAGCACTGTAAGAGATCTAACCAGGGACAGGAGGTGGGAAGCTGAATAATTTTATTTCCACACCATGAGTCCCATACTTTGAAAGGTTTAATTTTTCACACATTTCTTTATACATATATAAATTAAATTATCTCTATTTTTGTAGATATTTTGCAGCAAATCTCTGTATTTCTCTTCTCCCTCTGCTCTTCTCCAGTCTGTGCTCTGGTTTTGAGGAGGTTGTGGACTGCTCTAACAAGCCTCTATGATGACTCTGCAGAACAATCCTCAAATACACATCAAAATTCATATTCACTTGATTCACTTTTCATTGCATGTCTAAAGTTGTGTAACGATCAACACTGAAGGTGCACCCTGCAGGTCCCCAACAATCCGATGATTCTGAATTCTGCAATAGGAGAAAAGCCTCTAAAAATGCCTGAGCCTCGGGTGTGTGTCTTTCAAGGTCTCATTATGCGAGTATTTTAGTTACTCTTTCTGACACTGCTCGGCCGCTCTGACCCTTATTTCCCATATTTTTGAAACAGCGAGGGAAGGCAAAGTAGGCCACTGTATTTCACTACAGTTTACAGGAATGGAAAGTAATGCATGCTCGGAAAACAGTGGCCATTTTCTCTCTTCAGGGCAGTAGCTGTGTTCCTTGTTTGCAAGGAACTGTCTACAAAAGTTGATAAGGGGTGGTGGGTTTATATTTTCTTAATTAGCCATAGAGAAAACTTCTCAGGGAGTTAGGGATAAGGCAGAAAAAATTAGTTACAGTTACATTTAGGGAACCTGACCATTTCAACTGAGTTTAGGGGGCGGGGGGGTGGGGGGGGAGAGGGGAAGGAAAAACTAATAATAGAAGAACAGAAAAACCCCGCCTGTACAGATCTAAGGTGATCAGGGTGGAATCTGAGTATATGGCACTGCCACTGGGGCCGGGCCGTCGCCTCCTACTCGTGTCGCCCCGTCGGGCCGCCCGCACTCACCGGGGACCACCCGCCGCCCCCTGAGCAGCCCCGCTCCCTGTTGAGGGACTCCACTTCGATTTCCTCGGGGGAAAAAAAAAACATTTAGGCTGTATTTTTTTTAAAAAAGGCAAATTTCTCAAAGTACAGTCAACTCCCCAAACCCATCTGGAAGCACATTTTGCAGTCTCACTTCTCCTATTGAGTACCCCCTAGTATAACTCGTTTTGCTGCCAGCAGTTCCCCTCTGAAATCCATCCTGTATTTTCAGGATGGCAGGGCTTAAGAAAAGCCTCCCTTCGTATCGAGCTGCGTCTGGAGTCCGGTTCCCATCATAACAATAAAAATTCATTCGAAATCGAACTTATTCACCCCTCCTGGCCGGCGTGGCAGAGCACAGCTTCTCCAAGCAACCTGGCTGCCCTTTCCCCTGTCTCCCCGAACCCGCGCCGTGCTCCATACCTGGAGCGGGGTTCTCCCAAAGCAGTTGGTCGCGTTGGGATCCACGCCCGCGTCCAGCAGCCTCCGCACCTCGTGGTGGTCCCCGCGGGCGGCCGCGGTGCACAGCCGGTCGCCGTCGCCCCGGGGGGACCCGTCCATCGCCCCCCTGCCCACCCGACCCGCACGGCCGCCCCTCGCTCTCTGTCTCCTGCCCGTGGAGATGACGCAGCTCCTCCTTCCCCGAGGGCAGCGCCCGCCCCCTCCTGACCACGGACGGCGGAGCCCTCGGGCCTCGCTCACGGCCCGCGCCGCTCACACTCACAGCGGGGCGACCGCTGCAGTGTCCGCTCGCTCCCGGTTCCCAGCGCTCCTGGGGGCTGCGGTGATATCCACGAATCCTCCAGGAGGCCGGGGGAACACGGGGCCGGATGGCGAAGGGCAGCGGAATAGCCTGAATGCTTTCAAGACTTTGGGGAAAGAGCAGCCCTGGAGCTCACAGGACTTATTGAAGAACAGCTCGATCTCTCTTACTCCTGTGCAAGATTTGCCTTGGGGAAACAGAGAAATGCAGCTGGGCAAGAGTTGGTTCGTTAGAAAGAAATGCTTAAACCTGAATTTTCTTTCCCACTTGTACAGAGGGCAGATTGACTGCAGCTGAGTGCTTGCACATAGCACAAATGCACAAAGCAGGAGGGGTGTCAGTATGAAGCAAGGACCGGGAAACACAGAATCGGTAACCAACCGATTCCTCACAACATTTTCAGCTGGCCTCCAAAGCAAAGGCCACATACTGGAACTTCATAAAATGTCCAGATCCATACAGACCACAAGCAGAGTGTCACTGCGGGGTGAGTTCAACCTGCAAATAACAAATGCGAAAGAAGACATGTACCCACTCACAGCAACTTCTGTCCAACTGTCCTTCCACTGGCATTCAGTGGGAGCTCTGCTTCGCCTTGGTGCACATGTCACAGGCGACAGATCTCCTTCTGCTTTGATTGAAGAGACTTCTGGATTTGGACTTGGTAGCGTTCAGATCCAAACAGCTCCTGTCCATGTTCCGAGCCAGCACCCCTCACTTGATTGTGTCACGAGCACTTGCTCTCTCTGAGTGTGCAGTTGCTACTGGGCCCTACCCCGCTTCTCTCTGACTGTTTGCATATTGTATTTTGTTTTACCCAACTATCTATGCCTTTGAAGTCCATTTGTCTTGGAGGAGATCTCAATTGACTTTGCTCAATAGAGCAGCCTCCAACGTGCATGTCAGCAGTGTAATGTACTGATGCCAATGCAGGTTCAGCTATGGCACAAACTAGACTGTGGGGTGGGCCATTGCCTTTACCCTTTTGCTCCCTTTTCTATTTTCTCCACATCATTCTTTTCAGTCTAGCCTTGATCTGTTTTGCTAACGTGAGATTATCCACTGATATCTCATTTTACTTGGCTAACACTTCCCGGTTCTTTCTTCTACCAACATCCAAAGCATCTCTCAGCATCAGCACAGGTGGCATGTGACATCAGAACTGAGTTTCTGTATTAGCACTGAAAGCAGATCTGAGAGCAGTTGGAGTTCCCAGCACTGTAACCAGTGAGAGTGTTTGGTTTATCAAAACCAGCTGAGCATCAACAAGAGGAGAAATGAATTCAGAAGGTGCTCAGCACTGGGCAGGACCAGCTCTCTAAGATGGAAATACTGTCTTAACTGTTTTAAGGACTGCTTCCTCTCCCCACTGTCACTGCAGTGCTGCTGAAGCAGGACAGTTCCAAAGAATTGACATCAACTTTTCATCACACTTTTGCAAAAGTTTGCCATTGCTTGTTTAGATAATTGTCAAGTTCCCAACCTCCTTTACTGTGTCTTGGCTCAGGCCATTTGTGGTGCAAAGAGTGGCATGACTGGGCATACTTGGAAATAAGTTTTCTACCTGAAGATGAAGGTGTCATAGAGGAGGCCATGCTGGAACTGAGTAGTGTAGCAGTGTGTGTAGTAAGTGAAATGTATTTTAGAGGGTAGGTGAAGTCTGTCTTGTTGGTTGGTTTCCTCCTGTATGGTTCCTCTGGCACAAGGAGAAAGACATTTGATCTCCTGGAAGTCTTTTAATTTGACCTTAGAAGCTCTGTTTTAAGAATTAGTGCTTCCTGGGAAACAGCTTTTGTAGGGACTTGTATCAACTGTGTGAGAAGGTTCTGAATTACATTTTATGTGTTTTGATACCGTGGTCAAGACACAGGCATGCTGACACCAACCTTCCTCCAGGGATTGGAAAAAAGTCTTTAGGCAGAGCGTGCACCAACAGTGCATGCCCCAGTGTGCCAATACTGCCTGCCAATACTTTTTTGGGCAGGAAAAGAAAAATCTTCCTACTTTTAAAAACAGATTATAAAGTCATGCAAAGATACAAAGTTCAGTTGAGCTTTCCTTTTGCTCTCTAAGTCTTGTTTTAATAAGAAAACAAAGCATTTGGATGTGTTTAAATGGTGTGTGTATGTACTTAATACACATCTCAAAAAGCCCCTCGTATTCGGCCTGCTGTGAACGTGCTGTGAGTATCCATATGTATTTATGCACAGACCCCCACAAACAAGAAAGCAATCAACCAAGTCGAAATAAAAACCAGTGCCCAACTCTGAGTGGTACTGCACACAGAATCCTTTAATAGCTGAACACTAGGAAGGAAGTTTTCTGAGCCAATCTCCTGTTTAGTTATCGAGTAAGAATAGGTATTTGGTTACATGCAAGTGATACAAACATTGGGTAGGCAATGGAAATTCTGCAGGAAGGAGAGAAAATACAAAGTGTGAAAAGATCCAACTTTGTAACCCAACTCGGCCATTTGTTGTTTTTTCCAAAGATCTAGTTTAGAGACCCATGTTTTTTGACATGGATAGCTTCCCCAAATGCAACTCTACAACATATTTGTAGTAGTTCTTAAATTGTGATGTCTATCAGTGTTAAATATTTGGACAATCCATCAGTGTTATATCTCAGTCTTAAAACTGTAAGTGAAGTGGACTGCTGAGAGGAGAAGATTGGAAGATTAATTCCATTTGTAAAGGAGAGGGCTGAAGTGTTCGCTATGTGAGAGCCCTAGGACATAAAAGAATCTCAAGGGATGACTACAATGTCAAACCTTGCAGGGCGGTGAGCAAGCCGGTAAGGGAAACACAGCGTTCTGACTTCTCTAAGCAGCTTCCCCATAGCCAGAAATCGGAGAGGGCAAACGGCGGATTTTTCCGCCCCCCTCGCCACTCCCGAAGCACAGGAGAACCGTTTGCTACCTGTGCTCGGCCCACCAGGGAGCCTGAGAGGGAGAGCAGGAGCGCTCGCCTTGGCAGTGTTTCGGTTCTTTCCTTCTTTTCTCAGGCAGTTGAGCAGCACGTGTCCTCCGGCAGAAGCAGGACACGGGGTGGCCGTGGCGTGCGGAGGAGCCCTGGGCAGCGGGGCAGAGGCAGAGTCTTGGCAGGGGTCGGGCGGCGGTATCGCCGGCAGACGCGGTGGCTCGCTGGGTGAGTGGCCGGCGGGGACGGTGGCGGCGGAGATGGGCGCAGGCGGCGAGGGCTCAGCGGGGCGGCGGGGGCGGCCGAGGGCGGGTCAGGGCGCTGCCCCCTGGGCGGCCCTGCCGGCTGGCGGCAGGGGCGGCGGGTGGCGCAGGTAGCGGCCCACGGCTCCGTGCGGGCCCCCCGCCGCCACGTCGAGGGGGAGGTGGCCGCGGCCGTCGGGCAGGTCGAGGCGCGCCCCGGCCCGGTGCAGCGCCACCAGCGTCTCCAGAAAGCCGGCGCGGGCCGCGTCGTGCGCCGGGAGGCAGCCGGTGCTCGGGTCGGGCCGGTTGGGGTCGGCTCCGCGCTGCAGCAGCAGCTCGGCCACACGCGTGCTGCCCAGCATCATCACCTGCGGGGAGACACAGCGTCAGCGCCTGCGGACACCGGCTCAGCGTCGAGCTACTGGCCGGGCGGAGGCGGCGCTGGCGTCTCTTTTGGGCATAATTCTCCTATATCGGCTACTTGGAGTCGTGCCGTGCATAAATACCGACAGCCGTATGCCAGGATCCGTACGACTCCCTTCAACTCCAGAGAGTCTGTGACTACATGAGAAATTAACATAGTAGTTACGATGCGTGTGGTTTCCAGACTAGATTCTACGGTAAACTCCATAAGAGAGGGTGGCAAAACAAACATCTGAAGAAAAGCACTAAGATCAGCGTTTACAGAGCCATTGTACTGTCTACTCGTTTATATGGTTCTGAATCATGGGTCATTTACTGCTACCACTTGCGCCTCTTAGAACGCTTCCATCAGCGCTGCCTCCGTACAATCCTAAACATCCACTGGACTGACTGTGACCAACACGTCTGTCCTTGAACAGGCAGCAGTCATGAGCATTGAGGCCATGCTGCTGAGAACTCAGCTGTGCTGGGCAGGGCACGTCTCCAGGATGCAGGACCATCGCCTCCCTAAAATCGTGCTCTATGGGGAACTTGCCACTGGCTGCCGCAAGAGAGGAGCCCCGAAGAGGAGATACAAGGACTGCCTGAAACAATCCCTCAGCCTTGGCCATATTGATCACCACCACTGGTCTACCCTGGCCTCCAATCGGGAGGCCTGGAGACACACCATCTATAACGCTGCTGCTGCTTTTGAGAACACACGCAGGATCACTCTCGAGGAGAAAAGACAACGCAGAGAGAATTGAGTCTCATCTGTATCAACTGGGGAGTCTTTCTGCTGTGCCTTCTGCAACCAGACTTGGTCTATCTCGCATTGGCCTTTTTAGCCATCAGTGTGCTTGTAGCAAGCGTGGCTAGAGCCCTTCTCAAATCTTTGTTCACGAAGCCTAGCCTTGATGATGTCATTTGTATGTACCGTGGTATAAGTGGTACTTGTGGTGTGCTTAAAAAAATATATATGTACAGGTACATACAGACACGGCTATGTATATGGGTACACACATAGACACACCAACAGATATGCCATTGATGTCCCATTTTTGTTTCACAGATAGTGTATATAGAAGTACTACAAATAGATTTAAACACATGCATATATTAATAATGCATTAAATATATTTAGACACATAAATAGGATCTATATATATATAGAAACGCACATGGATATGTTTATACATTACGCATACACACGCTGTATAGTGTGACAGCCCTGAGCAGCCTTGCGTGAAGGCTTCTGCCACTTGGAATGCCTTACTGATTTATCAACGAGAAGCACAGCAAGCAAGCCTAAGCAGCTGCCTGTGTTTCCTTCGGGCTTCTGGAGTGGATTTTCCCGAGTTTTCTCCTCCTGAGTTTTGCATCCTTTTCCTTGTCTTCTTGTCTCCCCTTCAGCTCTGTCTTCTTTCCAGAGATGTAAGGAAAGCTGCTGGCTGCTCATGAGTAATGCACAAAACTTTCCTGATGGCAAATTCCTAAAGACATCCTGCTTGTCGGCTGATAGCAAAAACTTTTGGCAAGTTCTGATCATTCACCATTAAACAAAACCACAATAAACTATCAACCAACAAAGAAAATCAATTTGCATTAGGGTGTTTACTTCCTTCATTGTCCTGGTCATTTTCAGTGGAATTTTGAAGTCCATAAATTGTGGCTTAACATTATGGAAAAGACCTTAAGACAAAAGGGTTTTCCCATTCTCTTCTTTCTCTCTCTCAATTCTTTGTTTACACACTTCAAATACTTGCATTTATTTCTAATAATAAAAGTGCAAAAATGCTTCTTTATGTCATAATTTATAATGTCTTATTTTATTTTTTTTAGAAAGAAAAAGAGAGTCCACATATCAGTGTCAGCCATTTTGCAAGTGTTGAAAAGGGAAACAGAACCTTGTCTCACTCTGAAATGAGGGAAGGAAAGAGAAAACTTGCAAGAATGTGAAGATTCTTTTCTTCAGGAATCTGAACACACAACAGAAATAAACTGAATAATTTTCTCAGAACCTTTCCCAATAACTTACTTTAGAAAAAGATTTCCTTTTCCATGTAAAGTGCCAAAACCAAAATGGCTGTTCAACTTAGCTGATGAATCATTAAATAGGTGGCTTCAAGTGACAACTTGAGAATCCTTTTCATGAGAAATGCAAGTCTAGCTTTAATCACAGTACCTTAATCGTTCAATGAACACTTAAGAACTTTGAAAGTGAGTATGTCGATTAATAGAATATATTTTAGCAACTCTACACACGAGTACTTTCAATATCTATCAATGAATACTATTCCTACTGATGAATAGAGAATACTAAAATTACTATTGCTATGAC